ATGCCTTTAAAGAGCACTCCATACCCCATTTTCACTCTCCACTCATTTTTCCTGTAATAACACCTTCTATGTTATTTGCATTTTCATTGCTTTGTTCTTAAATAGAAGGAGCAATCATCATCACTCCTATGACATGTGGTCTCCACAGAATTCAATCTGCTTGGTCACCTTTTTTTCCTCTTTTCCTTTGCTTTAACTAGGCTATACTCTTGTTCTCACTACTCAGCTGGCTTGGCCATGTGATCTCCTCCACTGTTGAATTACTTTGCCTGAACTTCAAATAGGGGGTGAACTGAAGGATTAGCTCCCAAACCATTCATGTGATCTAATTCAACATCATCAATATAATCAGTATCTTCCAACACCATCAATAGATGTGGAGATTGCAAATTTCTATCTCTAAGCCAAGTTCTCTCCTCAAGCTTTAGAAAAGTTAACTAGCTCTAACTAGCTCTTGCCTTTTCCTCTGAAAGCCTCCAGGCACTTAACTCAGCATTCACAGAACAAAGCTAATCTCTGCCATCTTCAGAAATGCTCCTCTTCTTGAGCACTTATCACAGTCAGAAAATGGTATCTGACTAGTTTTAACAGTCAGGAATCTGGAAGATATCCAACACTCAACACCTCTTTCTGTCTCTGTATCTTTGTGTGTCTGTCTTAGTCTCTGTGTCTCTCCCTCTCTGTGTCTTTGCTGTATCTCTGTTTCTCTCCTAGTCCATTTTTTTCACTGCCCCATGCAGTAAGCCACTAAAACCCCATTGATTTCATCTACCTGCTCTCTATTATTCTCTGTTGGCATTGCCATTACATCCTGTCATGGTCTGTATTGGTGTCCCCCAAGGCCTCACGCAGTCCTAGGGTGGCTTGTGGAGTTTGTGACTGACTACTATAGGCATGGATGCTGCACCTGTCCTGGGGCAGGTAATTTGCATTGCAATGTAAGGAGGGTGGAGTGGCAGAGCTAGCTCCCTGAGCTGCTGCCACTCCCTTTGCTCTCTTGCTCTTTGCTACCTCCATGAAATGTTGCTTCCTGCCATGTGCCACTCTGCCTCTGAGCCAGCTGAGTATGACCTGAAACTTCCAGTAACTTGGAGCTGAATAAACCTTTCCTTCCTTCATTTTGGGTGACCAGTATTCATCCCTCAAAGAGAGAAGAGTAGTTGTATAATCACCTCTTGGCTTCTATCTTTGCACTCATTTTTGTTCCATTCTACTATTCTGCACTTGCACTTGAAGGAGTCTTAAATATCCACATCTCTCATACATTTAATACTCTTCAGTGGCTTTTCAATAGCCTTCTAATGCAGTCTATATCCTTAACTTGCTGACAGGTTGTCTGCCATCTAGCTCCCCTGCCTCTCTTGGAGGTGTGTGCAGCCTGTACATCTGGTTGGCAAAAAAGAGCCACTTCTGCTGGCAGCCTGTCCTCAATGTTTATGTCAGACAAGAAGTAGTTCTAGGACTGTGGGGTAAATGGGGAACTCTGCATTTTTCAGAATGAAAGATCCTTCTTCCTTCGTCTTTTTCTTCTTGCCATTTCTGAGCACTATCACCTAGAATCAAACTCTTTTCTAAGGTAAATTTGAGAGCAAAGGTAGATTTCTATAACAAAGAGAAGTCATTCTCAGTGCTGGCAGTTTGATGGAGTTTTTCAGATTATCTCTGAAAAAGTGTTAGGGCTGAGATCCAAATTCTACTGACTGGTTTCTTGTGAACCTCCAAGGTCTATCCTAGTCACAGCTTGAGAATAGATTTGTAATTTTTTTCAACCATTTATCATTCCCCAGAGGGAAGAAGAGTTCTAAATGCTTCCTGTTTTTACATACCACTTATTTAAGATCAGTAAGCAATTTGAGTCAGTTTTGCTTCAGAAGTAACTTTTTTTATGTTTTCCATGAATAATGATTACATTTATGTAGCTGTTAATTAGACTTGGACATTTAACAATACAGATGCATAGACATACAAGTGTACACACACACACACACACACACACACACACACACACACACTGGACAGCCAGTAAGCAGAAATTTTCATCTGTTGGCAAACACATGTAAATTACAATTGATATGTGAAAATCTGACTTGTTATTTTGTCCTGTATGTACACATCTCTCTTTGTACAAGTAGAGTAGATATAAATAAGTGCTTTCCCTTATATATCTTTTAGGTTGAATGCACTTCCAGATGTTAACAAGACACCTTAACAGGATGCATCCAGATTAATATGCCTGGTTGATGTTGGTCTGCAGGCTGGATTTTGAATGCTTACTCACCAATATTCTTAGATAGGTATGGATGTTCTATACCATGTTCACTTGTGTTCAATTTAGATCTATAAAATGGGTTTTTTACTTTCCACTTACCTATGCTAGACATGATTCTTTTCTTTTAAAAATATAATACAGGGCCAGCCAAATAGCTTGGCAGATTAAAGTGTCTGCATAGGCAGACTCAGGGACTGGGGTTTGATGCCCAGCATGCAGTGCCAGTCCTGCCCCTGAGGCAGGCTGAGACCACAATTGAGACTGGGCACAGTGGTACATGCCTGTAATCCCAGCACTCGGGAAGCTGAAAACAGGAGGATCACTAGGAGTCCAATCTGTGTAGTGAGACCCTGTACTAAATACATAAAAAATAATAATGCATATGCCCATAATTTAAAATTTACTAAATAGGAAAAATAACATAAATCATCAGCAAAAAATTATCCTTTTATTTAATAACCATTTCCAACTTTTAAACTACCTTCTAAGCAGAAGTCACATGCAGATCTGTGCTATCATTTCTTGCTCAGAGAATAGTCATGCTTACATTATTTGTTATTTTCACTATCTTCCTGGGAACTATTGCTTTGTTTTTCTTAATGCAAAGTTTGCTACCCTGAAACTACCCAGAAAAGTTATGAATTAATCTTGAGATTTTGGCATAGGGTTCCAGAACCTTGTGAACATTTTTAGTTAATTGGTGGCTTAATTGTCAGTTGGCTGGATGATCTCTCATTTTCCCTCCTCCTCAGAGAAGAGCAGAGAGAGGGCAGGATATCACAGTCACCATGGATGTCATTAATAGACTAGCACAGCTTTGAGAAATGCACAGATCAAATAAACATCTTGGAGACAGAATACATTCTCCATATTCTTAAAAGTAAAAACTAAGTAAATCTTGGTATCGGTGACCAAAGTTCCTCCCTCCTTCCTGGTGGAAGCTTCGCCTGTTTCTGCTTACCTATTAGCAGGCATGCACAAACAGTCCAAGTGTGTTCTGCGCTGCTGAGTAGTAAAACATTGTGTATTCAGGAAAAAAGCATGAAAGAGGAAATTCTTTTCCTTAAAAGGGAAGTAACACACACGCACTTTCTCATCATCCACTTCAGACATCAACTAATAGGCATGTTCAGGCTCTGCCCATAATCCTCAAAAATCTCCTGGTAAGACTCTTCTATATACAGCATGAGTGAAAGAAGAGCATAGAGTTTATCTTTTTCCTCAAGAAAGCAGCTGCAGGCAAAAACTAGGGTGACAAGCCAGGCATTGTCACTTGGGGTCTAGAGGCACTTACTACTTGTAAGATAGCTGCCTGTTCTCAGTAGAGGTGACATCCTTCCTTCTTTATTTCTCTAAATTTCTTCTATTCTTCAGCAGCTTCAACCATCATGACATTTTTTTCCCGATATGCATATCTGTTTTCTGAGATCATTTGGGTTGGTTTTTACATTGAACCAATTTTTATTTTTGAAAACTCTATTGGAAGAGCAATATCATTGCTCAGGTTAAACCTGTTCCAGAAGGAACCCAAGAGAAATCTGGTACCGTTCTGTGTTGTCCAGAATTTTTTTATTATGTCTTCTAAACCCTAACAGAAAATCTAGTTAACATCCTCATTCTTAGATAAATTGCTTTTTTGTTGATGTGGGTGGCAGAAAAGTGAAACAGCAACACATTCCACAGTCATTATGTGCTTTTAAAATAGACCTTCTTTTATGCTGTATCTCGGAAGCCTCCAAATGAAGCAAATGCTGACTGCTTTCCTTATCTAGACTGAAGACACACTTAGGCTCTGGGAAACCAGCTGCGGACTGTTCCTCTTAAAACCACTGGTGCTCTGTGTGACTCCTGAGGAGCATGCATATGCGGCCCTGTCCGCCCTGGTGAAGGGAGTCACTGCTTTTGTCCTTGAATTACTTACTCCTAGAAAGATATTTTTGCAATTTCTGAAAATATAGCTGCAATATATACATATTTTTGGATTTGGATAGTTTAACATCAAAATACCCATTTACCAGTTATTATCAGAATTAAAAGAAAGATATACAGATAAATATTATCAAATATTATCAGCTAAATATTAGTTTATGCATATTTATTTTCATATATAAATCTTTTTATTTTAGGTAAAAACATTTATATATTCATTGCCATTCATTTATTTCGTATGTATTTCTGTGATTGATCAGTTTTTTCCTTCCTTGCAAAACATTATAATTTCTTGCATTCATAAATATCATAGGGTTAGTTAATCAACATACAAACACAAACCTAATTGATATTAAAAATTTAATATTCATTTATTAGCATGAAGAGTAGTAGGAATAAATTTTAATTTTGGCATTTGTGGAATTTGAGATGTACTTCTGGCAAAGAATCACATGTGATGTATAGTCTCCAACAACCTAGGCAGGAAATTCAGCAAGCCAGTATCCTCACCATCAGTACAGGGCCTGAGGTCAGAATAGTTCTGTCCCATAATTTCCTGGAGGACATTTCATCCTGTAAAACTCTATGTGTGTGTCTGTGTGTGTGTGTCTGTGTGTTTTATATCCATTAAAATGCCAGTGAGCACTGGGCATAGTAACATCTTCCCCATGTATACATGAGAGTTACAAGAAAGATCACTTTGAAGAACTTACTCAGCTGCAGCCAAAGGTGGAGATACTCAAAGAAATAGAAACAGTGTGAGCTCTAAAATTGCCTCCGATTATTGCTACATCACTGTGATCGAAGGTGAAGTTGAACAAAGCCTAGAGATTTTGCTGAATGTAGAGACTGATCATTGATTTCAGGAGACTGACATGGCTAAAATGTAAGTGAAAAGCTTGTTTTTTTTTTTTTTTTTTAATTTAAAGAGAAAAAAAGTAAAAATAAAAGAGTTTAAAAATAGATTAATTGGAAAGTGAAAAAACCCAAATGCATCATGTATTGTTATATTCATAGTAGTTACTCAGAATACAAGATATAGGCATGAAATATTGTCCAAATAATATTAGCACAACCCTTTCTTTTCAATGAACTAAGAGAAACGAGCTGTATAACTGAATTAGCAATATATCTCTCTGTCTCTCTTTCTCTCTCTCTCTCTCTCTCTCTCTCTCTCTCTCTCTCTATATATATATATATATATATATATATATATATATATATTCCCCTCTTTCCTTTTCCTTTCAACAGTTGAAAGCTGTGTACAAAGCTACAGAGAAAGAGTTTCTGGGCCTATCTGAGTTGTCCCTTGTCATTTTTACCTTGGCTGTGAGAAATAACCTCCAGAAAGAAGCAAACAATCCCTATACCTTACTTAGGTCTGGGAAGTGTTTGTGTTCCCCCCAGGAAGAATGGAGAGAACTCATGAAAGGCTAGGTGTTTGAAACTTCACACTTTAGCTGTGAGCCTAAAGCACTCAGCCCTAAAGTAAAGGCTCTTGACTTAGCCTACTACCTCTTAAAAGCAATTTCATAGAAATTGAAATGATCACTAACCTAATTTCATACCAGAGAAAACATAATACTCTTTAAAGAAATACTGCAAAATTCATCGCTCAACAATGTACAGTTCAGAATGTCCAGCATCTCATCAAAACTCACTCGACTGTGAAAGTATAAGAAATTTATGAGTCATTATCAGTAGAGAAAATAGTTCATAAAATATCTATAGATAACAGAAAGAAATAGCAAAAAAACCCTTTAAACAGCTTTCATTTATTGTGAAAATATGCCAAATAATGTGGAGGAAAATGTGAATATAGAAAGAGGAGTGGAAGACATAAAAAGATACAGTTGGAACTTTTAAGGATGAAAAATTGCTTCATTCAGAAGTTAGTTTAAAGAAGTGGGAAGGTAATACTTCTGAAGCTTTATAATGCTAATATGAAAAGCATACAACAATTAAAACAGAATTAGCTCGTTTGTCTCTGAAAGTGCTATTTTTCATAGATATCATCTTTGACTTTTTTACCAAACTCTCAAACTTCTCTGTCTATACAATCAACCCAGAGACTGCTACTTACCTTCTTCATGAACAAGATGAATCATTCCTCACTAAACCCAAAAATGTCTGTCTTTTACGGATAACACAACCATACATCATGATATTTAAAACAATTCTTTTTAATTCTCACTTTTTAAATTTAGTAATAATATCTTTCAAGATAATATTTTCTCTCAATTTCTCTATCAGACATAACTATAATATGAAAATTTCATTTTTACTTCCATTTGTGTATGTATGTGCATTTTAATGTTTATAATTTAATGTTTGCCTTAATTTTCACTTCCATTTTTGTATGTGCATGCATTTTAATGTTCTTAAATTGATGTTTTCAGGTTTTGAACATGTGTGTTCAATGTGTACTGTGTATAAATAGGCAATGCATGCATATAGGCACACATTTTCAGGGTGAATGATAAATACAAGATATATTTGTTCATTCTGCACACATGCAAATCACATGTTTGTATGCATACACATGTGTACTACTTATGTATGTGTGTGAATGCACACTGTGTGTATACATATCTATCAACAAGTTTCTACATGTGTTTCATTTATTTATTTATTTTTGTATTTTTTAGGGAAGGGTCTACAGGGTGTTCAGGGTCTCACTACTAGATCAGACTCATAGCGATCTGCCTGTTTACCATGCCCAGTCTCAATTGCTGTCTCAGTGCACCCTAGGGGTGGGGCCAGCATGGCAGGCCCAGGGATCAAACCCCCAGCCCCTGTACCTGCTTGCAGGTGCTTTAATCCGCTGAGTTATTTGGCTGACCTTTCTTCATGCGTTTATACTGGTGTGTGTGTGTGTGTGTGTGTGTGTGTGTGTGTGTTTATGTGGTATGTATGTTATATGTTGCATATGCATGTGTTGTATGTGAGTGAACATATATGTTTGCTGTGCACATCTATATGCATGTCTTTGCATATATTTGTTTTGCTTGTATGATATACTTCCTTGGTGTCTTTGTTAATTTTTCTCATTACTTAGACAAAATACCAGACACTTGAAGTTAAAGAACGAAAGGTTTATTTGGCTCACAGTACGTAGAACTTTCAGTCTATAATCTGCAGGCTCCAAGGCAAGGTGTCATGGGAGAAAGGCATGACAGGAGAGAAACAGTTCATGGCAGGCAGAAGGCAGCAGTCAGAAAGCAGCAACACTCTTTTTCTCCTTTATCCAGCCCACACACTTTACAGCACATATCACTCATAGCCATGGGAGGGCAACCTTAATCATACCAGAACTATATCAAGCCAATCAGAGTATTGATTTAGTAATCATATACCTTTGATCCCAGCATCACACACTCCAGTTCTAGCCATCTCTAGAATCCCCACTTAGTACTGTGTGGGAGGCACAATAACTCCAGGCCTCCAATCCTATTGCAAGTGGGTTTCCGGGTTCCTCCTCCCCTACCTCTGATGAGCTAGGTTCCTAGTTCTTACCCCGCCTATTTCCCATAAGTCTACTGCTATGCCCAGGAGATGGGACTTCCTGTCATAGCCCGGTTGCCTAGTTACTCGCACCTTTTATCCCCCACACACATCATTTCCCTATGCCTCCACTATATATACCCAGCACCTCCCCTAAATAAACAAGACTTGATCAGAATCCTGTCTTGTCTTCATTCTTCACGTCTCCTGTCCTTTGTCCCCTCTTCAATTCCTCGCTCCTCCCCCAGGTGACCTTCGTTGACTGACCCGCTGGTTCAGGACAGTACTGCCTGAGGTTTTGGGGGGACATCTAGACACAAAGCACTTGGCTCTTCCCTATTACACCTGGACTTTACCTTGGTAAAGTAAAGTCCCTACTCCCATCACCATGTTCTAATTTGAACCTGTGTTCCATGTTCTCATGCACTGAACTGTTGCCACTCTACTTTTGCTCTCAGAGTCCATCACACTTTGTCCTAAATACCTGTTTACTTGTGTGTGCCACAGACACCACAAGACCTAGACTTCCACCACTAGGGCTTCTTACATGCTAAATATGATCTGACATTCATTTCACTCATGTGATTACTAGTAATCACAAAGTTCCATGAGACACCATTCTATTTTAAATCTAGGAGCATCACCCTTGAGCAAACCCTGAGCAATGTAAGCATTCACTTGAATGGTGATATCAAAGTAAAGATAAAAATGAGACCAATGGGTAGAATTGTGTTTATCAAAAAACTTTTTAGCTTGATACATGCAAAAAGCTCAATACACTGTGTAATAATTACTTTTATCATTGTTGAGACAAAACATCCAACATACACAAATTAAAGGAGGAAAGGATTATTTTAATTCACAGTTTATAGAGATTTCAGTCCATATTTGGCTGGCTCCAAAGCAGGGTGAGCATGGCAGAGGACAAACAATTCATGGTAGAGCAAATAAGAAGAATTGAGTGCTCAGAGCAGCAGGGCTTCATCTCCCAGCATCATGCCCAGCTGTAAGCCCAACAGTGGACTAATTCAGTATCACACACCCACAACCAGTCATGGATTCACAAAAGCCCCACCTGTGATTACAGGAGGTTTTGGGGAGATATCTAGATATATAAACCATAAGCCATTGCATGTAAATGACCTAATTATCTTTTTTTTGTAAACATCACTTTTATTGAAGAAACTTCTGTTTAGTTCTAGATGTGATAAAATGAAGGCTATTTTCTGAGAGTTACTTTAATTTATTGGCTCATGGTCCCAGAGGTAAGGTTTCTAATAATATCTCTAGGTTTTTTTTTTTTTTCTGGCAGAACCAGGAATTGAACTCAGGAACCCAAGCTTGCCAGGGAAGCACTTATCCTGCTGAGCCATCTCCCCAGCTCCATTTCTAGTTATTTTTAAAAATATTTCATTTAGGGCTGGGGAGATAGCTCAGTGGTCTAAGTGCCTGCTTTGCAAGTGCAAAGACCTGAGTTCAGTCTCTAGTACTGTATGCTATGCTGTACCTGCCCCAAGCTGTGCTGGCCACTAAAGCCAGGTGTGTTGGTACATGCCTCTAATCCTAGTGCTGGGGAGGCTGAGACAGAAGAATCACTACGAGTCCAAGCTGTGTATTGAGACCCTGTACCAAATAAATAAATCTTTTAAAAATATTTCATTCAACCAAAATGTAGTATCATAATTGACATTCACTTTTGGATTGTCAGTTTCTTAGTTTTCAACATGGGCTGTTTAAGTTGGTCCAATAATTAGGTGGTGAGCTTGAACGTCTATTGACAAACTCATATTACCATTATCATCATAAACTCCTTTTACACAGGTAGTTCATGAATAGATATTGCTGGTGGCTAAAAGTAAGCTGAGTATCATTCCCAAAGGAAAAACACCAGAAAAATCATTTATCACTTCATCTTTTTCCTTATCAAGAATTTCTTCTTACAGAAGTAGGGTTATCCCTGAGGCTTTTGGGAAATTGAAAATTCAGGAAGAATCAATGCAGAGCTGCATTTTTGATGGATGAACCATTAGAAAATTCTGAGGCATTCTTCCCATGACCTTTTCTAGAGACAGATGAATAGCATTCCAAAGGTCACATTTTATTTTATTTTATTTTATTTTATTAAAAAAAACAAGAAATAAGAAACAAAATCCAGCCAGTCTAGGAGCAAAGAGGCAATGGGCACTTTAGGTTCTTTCCCCACATGCAGACGTGAATAAAGGGGGAAAGGATAGTGAAAGTTAAAGTTAGTTTATGGAATAGGAAAGTTATTTGCTTAGAAAAAAGCATCAACAGGAAAAGGCTCTGAGCTAAGAGCAGTGCTCAGTTTGCTGAAAGATGGCTTCTAACATTGCCACTGGGTTACAAACTTCCATAATTGTGTTAGTGAACCTTCTTGTCAATGGGGCAAAATAGCCGACAGCCACAGCTTCAAGGAGGAGAGACATATGTAGCTCATGGTCTTGGAGGTTTTACTTCATGGTCAGCTGGCTCCAGGGTAGCAATAACATGGAAGAAAGCTAAAGCAGAGGAAAGCTGCTCACCTCATTGGGGTTAGAAGCATAGAGCAGGAGGGGGGAAAGCAAGGGAGGTCCCAATGCACAGCCCTGTGGCTCCTCCCACTGGGCCCACTTCCAGCACCACATTCAGCTTTAAGCTCAGCTGAGGATTATTCACTGACTGTGGCATGCTCCATGATACAGTAACTTTCAGAAAAGCTGAACTCTGAACACATAAGACTTCTGGGAAACATTTTAGGCCAAATTGAGGCAAGAATTACTAAGAGTAATGTAGATATTGCTCTCTCCATGCACATCAAGCATTGTTCTGTTAAGTGCAGAGGATTTGCTGATTTCATGTCCATGAAAAATTACTATGGAAAAAACTGTCAAGACTATAACACCTCAATGATACGATACATGATATTTTAAAATATCAAGATTTAAATTATATAAGGGCAGACCAAATGTGAAGGATGGTTATAGCAGATGAGTCAAGAAGCCCTTTGTGGAGTTTCTGAGAGACACGAGTGTGGGAATGGAAAGAAATATATCAAAAGAGTTTAAATAATGGTATATAAAAGAGGTAGAATGAAGAAAGCTAAGTTGTGAGGGTGGTGACTGACTCAGGGCCTGGAAGCAGCAGGAAAGAAGTCAGTAGAGAAGCAGGAGATGACCAGTGCGGCTGTACCCCAAACTTAACCAACAGCCCATCAGAACTGACAGTTTCAAGTATTTAAAACACAGATTTATTGCAATAATGTTTGACTTTTGGGGCATTGTCTTCTAAAGTTTAGATAAGACAAACAAAGAAATTTCACACAAAGATCTGTCACTTACATTAATGTCATTAACCAAAATAATAGTTGCTATTCTTTGATTACTATTATGTTAACCACATTAGGCATCTTATATAATGAAGTCTTTCAATATTCTTACAATAAGTAGCTGTAATTGTGTATACTTTACAATATTAAACAGTAATTATGGCAGCAACAAGAAGAACAATTTTTAAAGGAAAGTTTGGGCAATAATTTAGCAACACAACACCTTAGTTTCCTACTTGGAGAGATTTGTTATTAATGATTTTACATAACTTATTATTGTCTTGACAAATTTGCCATCAGGAAATCGTCTACAAATTAAAGACAAGCATAAAATGGCAAGCAAGTCATACTCTTAGTTAAAAATAATCTCCATAAAAACTAAATTGCATACAATATGCAAAAATAATAGAAAGTATGACCAAAACCAGCCAGTAGAACAGGGTTTTGTATGCTAGAGTGAGGAAGTCTCTGGGTATCTTATTTCAATAGTTAGTTCCCTCTGTTTAAAGAAAAGGGAAAGGGGAGAGCTATTCAGGGAGCCTGCCTTCAAATTCTTGGTTGTTATTACTACAGCTACTTCTGCAACTCTCGACTATGAACCCAGAGCAATTCTCTTAGAACGGTTTAGTCAAATAAAAACTTCTCCTCTTACTTCATTTCAAGTTCTGATTTGTTTTCTAATCTCTCCTCTCCCCTTTACTTGTTCTCCCTAGGAGTTACCCTGAAGGCCCATCATTGATTCTCTCCTTTTATCCAGGTTTGTTCCAGATGAATATTTTGTGTTTTGCAACATTTTACAATCCTAGAAATCTTAGCTTACAAAATCTTAATGCATCTCCTTTTAATATCATACCAAAAAATGTTTTTGAAATATATGCATACTTATTCTTTCTTGGATTTCATAATATACTTTAACATATTCAAGAGTGAAATAACTCCAGTAAAGGCATGCTTTTTATCTCTGCTCTAGCTTTCTATGCAGTAGATGACTGTGGGGTAGTTTGGTTCAGGCATACTCTCGTATAGATTGCAGGTTCCGAAAAGCTGAACTAGACTGCTGTAGTGTTAATATGCATCAATGCTTATGAGAACTAGAAGTACTTCATACAGGAAAGACCATATTCAGTATTATGATAGCTTAAGTAGAAAAATATGAAATATTCAGATTCCTTCTTTTATTGTCCTCCTCCCTTCAAGCCCTCAAAATGTTGGCATATTCATATTTGTCATGATATTCCATTTTTTAGCATCTGATAACACCTCATATGCTTCAGCCATTTGTTTGAGTTTTCACTCAGGTTCTTCTTTATTCTCAGGATTTTTGTCTGGATAACACTGTAGTGCCAGTTTCTGGTATGCTTTCTTGGTGTCCTTGGGGGAGGCGTACCTCTGCATGCCTAGAACTTCATAGTAATCCACCATGTTTGAACGGTGCTGGGACAAGTCTGAAGATGCTGACCACCAGCAACGAAAAGAAAGAGGTGTGCAGCTGGCCCCCTTGAGGCTCCGGGGTGGTGCGCTGGCAGTGACTGCAGAAGTGTGATTTCTTAAAAACCTACGATCAGAGGTCTCACTCAACCCAGCTATTCCTCTTATGAGTATCTTCCCAGAATAATTAAAAATACCATACCACAGCACTATGTGAGTGTTCATGTTTATAGCAGCAATATTTTTAATTCTTAATTTTCTAGGTAATTATTGGTAAAACTGAGTTTTAACTTCATTTGGAGGAAAAAAAATGAGACTGTTATTTAATTATTGCAGGATATAGAGATGATCTGATATTTTCAGTGTACAAGTTGATACTTAGCCAAAAAGAGAAAGAAATATTATCTTTCTCTATAACAACTTTTTTGCATTTCTCTCTCCACTTGCTTACTGGATCTAAAAGAATTTATATATCTTATAATATATAAATAAAGATTTATCTTATCTAAAAAAAAGTTGGCATATTATAAACAATACATTAAAAATTGAGTTTAGGGGGCTGGCCTGATAGCTCAGTGAACTAAAGTGCCTGATTAGGCAGAGCACAGCAGTCGGGTTTGATTCTCGGCCTCCCGTGCCAGCCCTGTCCATGGAGCCTGCCGATATGGCGATTGAGACTGGGCGTGGTAGCACATACCTGTATTCCCAGTGCTTGGGAGGCTGAGAACAGGAGAATCACTATGAATCTGATCTACATAGCGAACCCCTGTACACCCTGTAGACCCTGTCCTAAATGCAGAAAACAAAACAAAACAAAACTGAGTTTAGGGACAAGCAGTGTAAATTAGGTCACTTAAACTATTGAGGAGGTTACAACACAAAAATAATAGGAAACTCCTAATAATCTGAAAGAAAAACTTTAGGGATATTGTCAATCAGTTAAGTGATAGTAGAAATGGATTTGTCTGTGACAGAAGACAAGCTAGAAGACCTTCCTGGGTCTTTTGCACACTGTGAAATTCTATGATTACCTAGAGCCAAGTTACAAATGCTTTTCGGTCTTGTTTCATATAGTGTAAGTGATAGTCTCATTCTTTTGGGTAAATTCTATTGGAGAAGATGATGAAAATCAAAACAACTTGAAGTAAGAAGGGCAAGTAGTGTCTTTCTCCTTGAACTTACCAAAAGGCTGCCACTTGTGTCAAATTTCAGGTACTGTCTCATGGAATGATGACTAATCATTGTGTGTCACCAGGGAACAAAATATAGTCTTATACTTCTTGTGGTCTTATTTGCTTTGGAATTATAGGATATGTCAGGAGATTTCTGGGTGGACTTGGAGGACAGTAAAAAGACAACCATTAGCTCTCTGAGAACATGGGACAAGCATCCTATAATTCACTTTTAAGTACTACCCAGAAATCATATAATTATCCTGTAAAATAGTTCTTCCAATGAAATTAAAACATTGGAACATTTGTTGTTTATTCAGGAATGAATATTTGGCACACAATGAACTGTGTACAATATTTATGGCATTCTATGCTTTCTGACCACAGCACCCCTGGGAACTCAATAGATCTCACTGTCTTCTTTCTACTGTTCTTCAACAGTCTCCTAGCAAAAATTACTGAGCCCTTATTACATGCCCTGAAGTGCCTCCTCTTATTTCTTTCTCACAATGGCTCAGTGGAGGCCACCACTATTATTATCATCACAAGTTTATAGACTGAAATCTCAAAAAGTCAGAGAGCCAACCACTGTTCCCAGGAAGAGAATTTTCACTCCTGTTCTATGTCAGTTCCTTTCCAATTTTGTAAAATTCATCCTGCTAAAGCAAATACATCATGCTTCTATTTCTAGACCACTAATATATTCTCACTGTTTGTATTTTACACAAAAATCTGCCAAACTAAATCTCATAATATGAATGGTAAAGTTTAGCAAGAGGCTACTTTGTTTAATGGTTATGTGTAATGCTGTTAAGAAAATACAGCATGAGGTATTTGGAATATAATTTATAATGTTGAAGAAAACAAGATTAGTTTTTATGGTTAATTTTAGAAAAAAATTTATAATTCCCAATTTTGGATTATAGGAGATTAACAAAGTATTTAGTAGTCCAATTTAAGATATGATAACACATTGTAAAGGGAGTAGACAAAAAGTATTTGCTCCTATGTAAGCAATATTCTTCAGTGCACTGGTGTCAGCAGCACTTTCCCTACCCCTTACTATGACAACCATAAAGAGCAATTCATTTTTAACTTCTAATCCAGAATTCACTAAAGCAATGAAATAGAATTGCTTGCTTCATGTACTGAACATTTTAGTTATTCTTTCTTTTGTGTGAAATACTGTTAGACATTATTCTATTGAATCATTACAGATGAAAATTTTCTAGCACTTCGAAGGAGACAGAATAGCAATAGCCTAAGGCTGAGTTATGAATCTGACCTGGCTTGGTATTTTATTTCAAGCTCATATTAGCTGTCTGTTGATGAAAATAGTCCTTATCCTCCAAGTCTCAGCAAGAACAGCAGTAACCCTGTATGGACTGCTCTGAGTATAAGCACGACATCATGTCACAGCTGGCTCAGTACACAACCCCTGAGAGAACGACTAGACAGAGATCACTCCTGGCACTAACAGTGACAGTAGTGCTGTAAATAAGAGACAAGTATTCGAGTGCTTGCTACGTAGAAGGTCCATGGCAGTTGAATTGCTTTTCATAAAATGATTGTGATGTACAAATTCAGTTGAATGCAGGGCATTTCTTAAAAGCTCACACATGTTCAAATTATTTAAAAATATTAAAATAAAGTAAAAAACATACTTGTAATCATCCACTATCAAATCACTTCCTGGTTTTTATGTCCCTTTCTCATATTGGGAGCAGTTCTGACATTTTATCATTTTCTATTTTCTTCTCTCTACCCTAGTAATAGCTCCTTTACTAATGCAAATAACTGTACTTTTCCTATAGAGCTGTCTTCCTGTGTTTTGCTTTGCTTGGTTTTCATGATTTGACCCATCCATGCTCACCTTGAGAAAGAATTTCAGGCAGCTGGCCAAATTACATGCTGTTTGTCTACGTCAATATTTATGTTGCTGCTTCTGAGTCTACTAGAGTTTTCTCCTTTGGAATTAATTATTATGTTCTCAAAGGGAAATTTTGGTTTAAAAAGATCTTTTTAGATAAAATCATGCAGACATTTCAATTTTTAATGAAAAAATTGTTAACTAAACACTTGGAAAAATACAAAAATGTTCTAATTAAAACATGAAGTATAAGTGAGTCCATTCCCAACTCACAGAAAGTAAAAAATATTTTAATATTGTATTTTTAAAAAGAAAGACTTTTAATCGGGATTGCTTGAATCTGTGTAACAGTTTTGGGAATATTGCTATTTTCACAGTATTGGTTTTTCCTATCCACAGCAAAGAATATTTTTCCATTTTCTGAAGTCCTCTTCAGTCTCTTACTTCAAAGTATTATAATTTTCAGTGTATAACCTTTTTGCTTCCTTTGTAAGATTGATTCCTAAGGTTTTTTTTGGATGTTGTTGTGAAAGGCATCAAAGGTATAATAGATACTGTGGAGGGAGAAGAAACTTCAAAACAGAGGAACAACTGGGATAAGGGAAAGGAGAAAAGAAAGAAAAAGAACAAAAGAAAGAAGGGGAAACATTAAA